ACGCCACAGCTTTTTTATCCAAAATAATTTGGCCTTTGCTTTGAGTTTTCGAACGTCACATGCATTGCATGCACACCGTGAGCTGCAAGTTTGTTTTTGTCTTCTTCTGTAGTACTGCCCAACGACATGCGGTGGTATTGCAGGTGCTGCTGTAGCCTCTACACTACAGTAGTGCCATATACAGGTGAACGTCTTTTCCAGCTTCGTGCCCTTGGTATGCTGTGCACAGTCTTCACCCACCGCCCTTTCCTTTCAGCGTAGTACTGAGCTGAAGGCGAGGGCGCCTGGCGCCCGAGCCTGGAGACCTTGTATAGTCTGGTACATATGTTTTTGTGCACACGTATGATATGCGTAGCCCCAGCAGCTTTCACTGATATAAATCATCAGTGTACCACAGCAGTACTGCTGTATGGGGCTACAACAGACTCGAAATATGTCCAGTACCCAGCCGGTTTTCCTCCACTCGCTGAAAAGACTCCCAACACATCCCGTTCGACTTCTGCGGGTATGTATCTCGAACGGGTACATACCTATCGTAGTACATAGTCTTTCTGTGTTTTTCCCGATATGAAGACAACAACAACAACACCTTAGTAGTCCTACCCTCGTCCAGGCCGCAATGTGGATGAAGACCAAGAGACACACCAAGCGAGGCGCACTACATAGCACCCGGTCGAGTGTGGTATGTATGCATGTTGTATATATACGCATACATTCTCAACATGCATTTATAACAAACCGAACGAATGGAATTGTTTGTTTTTGCCCTTCACTTCGTGATATTATTTTTTGTGGTTTTGGACGACGTGCAAGTCATCTCTATCCGAAGATAATGAGACCGACCGGGATGAGTTCCCCATGAATCCATGGTGTTGCGTATGACCAACCTGTTTTTCTATTCTGCCACTCCCCGATCAGTGCACACTGCAGCGATATTGCATTTTCATGCACCGGACAGGGTCAAGCAGGAGCCAAGCAAGCACTCTGAAATTGTGGTGTTGTCCTTGCTCTCTCTTTTCGTTTTTCTCCACCCTTTCCCCCTTGCCTGCGTATTTCAAGGAGAGAAGGGCGCACCAGTCCCTTCCACCCTCAGTTTTTTGTTTACTTGCCGACGAACGGTGTACGCCCTCCCCACGCCAAGGTATGGACGCGGCGGTGTTTTCGTTCTTTGCACTGGAGAGAGATCCGATACCACTGTCAGTAGTGGGCCCTCTATAGTGCCGGTCGAATAGTAATTGTTGTTTTTGTTGTTGTTGTTGTCTTCACATTAAAAACCGTTCCGATCTCTCTCTACCCAGTACCTTCGTATGTCCGTACTGATCCAACACTCGACGCGGTCGATTCCCGTGGTCACAGGCTAACTTACCCTGAAAAGGTACACTCAAATAAACTGGCCCCGAGGGGTCCGCAAGTCAAAAGAAATCAACGACAGATATTCTGGAATCCTCCACTCCCTCTGCGCGCTATGCGAGGTATCAACTGAGACTAGGAGTCACTATCTACCATGGGCCGGAGAGAAAGAGGTGCACCCCCTTGGTTCAATCTTGGTACTTCACAACGCAAGCAGAGACAAGGCCATCTGGCACAGAAAAATAGAGAAAAAAAGAGAGAAAAAGAGAAAAAAGAGAAAAATAAAATGAAAATAGAATGAAAAAGAGCGAGGACAAAAAGGGACCAGGCCGAAAATAACAAGAAATAAGAGGCAGAACAAGGCACACGGGTGGAGAGACCACTAACGAACAAGCAAACACGCAAACATGGCCACCAACCAGCGATACATTGTAATGGTACGTCATCACTAACCGGGGGATTGGTGCAACGGTGCAGCGTTTGGGGGGGGGGAATTGGCTAGAAAAAATTCAATCCGGCACGTATCGCGCCACTCGGTCCGTCTCTTCTCGTTTGCTTTCTTCCCTCGCCGTCTCGTCCGTCTCCTGCCTCCTTCCGCCCCATTGGTTGTTGGCTTGTGGTTTCGTTTGAGCGCTCGTTGTCGGCTGGCCTCTTCTTCCTTCTTGTGCCAGGAGGTCATGAACCTCTCAGCTCCCTGCAGCACCGCCGCATGCCAGGGTACTCCCCCCTCCACCTTCGCGGCTTCCGTCCACCTTAACTTCGGTGCCGTGTCTTTCGGTACCGGGATTCCGAGACAACATGGATCGGTTTTCGTAGATCCGTGGTCGGCCCCGAATGCCTTCAGGTCGTCGAGCACACACTTCGGGCAGTTCTGTTCCTGTCCCCCCCTACGTGGCTTCTCCCCCCCCCGCCAGCTCGCCGAACATCAGTCGTTTCGGGATTCGCCCGTCCGGCTGCCTTGCCAGTGCTCCCGCGAACAGTTGGCGTCGTTGTCGGATCGTGGCTTCAACGCTCTGGCATCCGACCCTCTTCAGCGTCTGGGCGTACGAGAGCTGCCGGTAGGTGTCTTTCTTGCGCTTGTACCCGATAACTCGAAGGAGCAGTCGGTGGTGTATCGACCGCAGCGTCTGGTAGTGGCCGCTGAGTGGTGACCATGTCATGAAGCCGTACAGCAGTGCCTCCATCGCCTCCGCCTGGAGGAGGCGGATCTTGAGTCGGAATGGCGCTTTCGGTCTGTCGAAGAGCTCCTGGCCATATCGCCTGAGGCACGCCCACGCTCCTCTGCTCCTGTAGTTGATATTCCGGGTGAGGTGGCCATGTTCGTTGACGAGGCCACCGAGGTACCGGAACTCGGTCGTCTGGGCGTATTTCTGTCCCGCGGCTTCGATGGTCAGTGGTGGAGGCGGGGGGGGCTGTGATGTTGTAGTCGACTTGTCCTTCGCGCGCATCAGGAGTGTCTCCGTCTTCTTCTCCGACACCGTTAGCCCGAACTCTCCGAACACCTCAACGATGATGGTCATCATTCTCGCCAGTCCTTCTGCAGACCTCGATACGACGCCGGCATCATCGGTATACAGCATCCCCCATACTGCCCTCCGTACTCGGTCAAGGGGTGTCTCCTCCCGCCCCCCCCCCCGCTTCCGTCTTCCCCTCCTCCAAGCACACCAGGTTCCGCAGAACATCATCCTCGCTGAATCGGATAACGACGACCTCGAGGACCTCGGCGAAGAAGATGTCGAACAGCAGTGGGGATAGCACACATCCTTGTCGCACGCCCTATGTGACGAAGAACCAGTCCGATAGTTTTCCGTCGTCCATGCGCACCCGGGCCCGCATTCCATCGCGGAATTGGCGGATGACTTTGATTAGCTTCGCGGGAATCCCGGCCCTGGCCAGCACCTTCCAATGCATGTCTCGGTCCACCGAATCATACGCCTTATTCAAGTCGACGAAGCACATGTAGAGCGGTTTTTTCTTTCTCCGCCCCAGCTCCTGGAGGCGGCGCACGACGAACAGCATAGTACCACAGTCCGGTACAGTCACGTCTCTGTGGGCACGAGTGTCCACTCCTGTAAAACTATATATCCCTGTTCTCGCTAGTGTCGGTGGCCCGGTTTTGTGCCGGTAAAACCTCTGGACACATACATACCGGCACTACACAGGGCCCACTACTGCTGTACAACTGTGTACCCAGCTGTGTACCCATGGACAGTCAGATATGGATATTGACGAGACTACCAACTGAACCACCCCCGGGGGCAGATGTACTGGAAGAAACACATACACACAAACACTTTCCGGTGTGATCCCGCCAGGTTCTTCCACGTAAAACAGGAAAGGAACGCCCGAGTTGATACTGCTTGTAGGACTATTTATACGTATCATGAACAGAGAGGCGGCCCTGGAGATTTTCAACATTATATGTACAGTAATCCTCCCAAGGGGGGGGGGGGGTGTTGGTAGGACGTACAGGCCGGTTAGCCTTTGGCTGCCCAGCAGTCGGTAGGGATGCGCTATGATAACGTTGTACCAGGGTTTTGCCATCAGAAGAAGGAAGTAGAGACGGAGAAGTGAGAGACGACAGTGGCTCCCAATCACTCTGGCACGTGCCGCAAGTCCAGACGGGCTCATACGTCCAAAACTGTCAAGTACATTGCGGCAATCAACAGGTCGGCGCAGTTGACAAACGTTCCAACATGCCAACCGGCACCTTCAACAGCTATTCAAAGCTCAGAGAGACGGTTCGGAACAGGGTATAGCCGGGGTAGAAGTAAGAAACCCCTGTCCGGGTTGATGTAGAAGAGTGTAATGCGCGGTGCATGTGGTTTTGGGAGTGACTCAGCAGTTGCTTCACCCACTTGCACTCCCAAAAGAAGTGAATACAGAGCAGTTGTTGCGGTTGTTGTTTTTTCAAGTACAAATTGTGTAGAAGCTAAAATCAAGACATTGCACTATCGGCTTCTGTATGCCTCCACGTTGGGAACCTCCTCTTTCGTACCATTCGGGTCGAAGAATGAAAAAAGCACGCAGGGCACGACCTACGCGGAAGGCTCCCGGGCTTCCCGGGGATGCACTCTTCCACTTATCCACTACCGGTAGGTTCCTTCTCTATCCCACCACCCCGCCCCCCCATCTCGCGGAATTCATCACGGCGCTTGGTACCGAACCTGGTCCGGTGAGAACCCGGCGTGCTCGGATCCGGCTTTATTGGGATGCAAGGTCAATGGTCTAACAACTACGGCATGCACGGCCATGAGTACACTCCCGCCGCCGCTGCCCAACGCCCTCATGCAGCATCGAGAATGAAGGATGCTCGGTACCCACGGTTCCGTCCCTAAGTCTTGGCAAAGTCAAATCTCGAAGCCGGAACCAAACCGAAAGCAGGGCGTATTGCCCTTGGTGTGAAATGTTGTCGGCTTCGCACGACAACATGCGTGGGGACTCTCTCTCTTTCCCTCCTCTTTCTCTCTATATATACGTCATATATGTTTGCCGATCTCTCTCTGTCTATCGATCTGTGTGTGTTTGTTGTCCTGCGATTTGCAACAGCAAATGCTGACTGCTGCTTTTGCTGCTGCTGATTCATGTTCCTCCTTCTCCTCAGACCTGCCTCACCGGAAAAAAAAGCACGTTTTGGCGACACGCACACCATGGACATGATGGGCTCCTTCGGAGTGTACGGCGGTGACGTCGCCACCGCTGGCTTGTACAACGACGTGGCCATGGCCAACCTTCCCCGTACCATCGCCATGATGAACGGAGGCTTCATGGGGATGCCCTCCACGGTATGGATAAGGCTTCTTTTTACCTGCCATTAGACATGTTCTCTGGTAATTTTTGTACTTGACGAACCTGTCTCTCTCTCTGTAGATGGGGGGACAATTTGTAGCTCACTGCTCGCCGTAGCGGGAGCGCGCGGCGTCAGCTTGGAAGGCGTTTATCGCACACGAAAAGAGACGCCTTGACGAACCCTTAGCCTTTACTCCCTCGCCCGCACACCACCATTGTCATGGATGTAAATTCTTGTTGGATGGTGGTGTTTTTTGTTGTTCTCGCACCAGTGGGAGAGCGTGAACCACGCCAGCAAGAGAAGCCGGATCGATGCCGCTGACTCCGGCTCCGCGTCGTACTCCTCGTCGTCTGCTGCGTCTCACTCCGAGACCGAGGTGAGGAAGGCGGGAATGTTTTGTGAATGCCGTGTGTTGTTGTCTGCTGTTGCTGTTGTTGGTGTTTTGGTGTTTTTTTCCCAGGCACGGGTTGGGTTTCTGTATGCTATGACTTCGCCTACTTTTTGGTGGGGTTGTTGGGTGTTTTGTCTCAGCCATCCGGATGGGGTTTCTTGTGCCATTACGCCTCTCCCCGGCGCCCAGGGACAAGAGACAAACGATGACTGATGAGAATTGCTTGGTGCTGTCGGCGCATGCGATAGTGTAGTTTCGCCCCCAGTTGTTGCCGGATGTCTTCGCACCGTAACTCGAGGATCAGTCAGGGCCTCATTAGTCCACCTCTTGGGCATGGGAGAGAAGAGACACTGCTTTAGGGGGCTGTGATGCCATTTTCCTTCGAGAAATGAATTTTGTGAGGCATGCCCCTCTGCCCCGTGCTTTCGTTTCACAGGTACGGTTGCGTTTTTTTTTGTCTGATGCTTCTTTCACGTGTCTCCAGTACGTGTTGTCGTAGTTTCCCGCCCGTTCTTTCTTAAATCCTCATATTTCTCCCTGGTCTCCTATCCTCGTGACGCAATTGACGCACCAATCTTCCAAATGTGTGCGAAAAAGAGAAGAAAATATGCCAAACGGAGACAAGAAATGATCGATGCTGGTGACCCAAGTGGCGCACCTCTTCGACTCGTCACTTCCACCGTCCATCTGTTTGTTTTTCGTTGTCCCCGAGACCCCGCGGCCTCCCCTGTTTCGTGTTCCCGAATACTCCCAACAGACTTGTTGTCTTGCTGCTGAAACGCGTCGATGTTTGACGCGCTTTTTTTCTTGCCTCTCCCTTTTGCGCCTGCAGTCGTCCTCCAGCGTCGACGAGAAGAAACTCATGGACAGGGAGCGCAACCGCAGGCAGGCCCGCAAGTCTCGGAAGCTCAAGAAGCAGTGCGCGGACAAGATGCAGCAGCAGCTCAACCAGCTCGAAAAGGAATCGGTGAGAAGGAGAGATGGCCAATGGTTTGTCGTGCACGTGGAAGGAGGAAGCATTTTCTGTTGTAGGGAAACAGCAGCACCCCCCCCCCCCCCTCAGTACATGAATCAGAGGGGAGAGAGGACTTGTGAACAACAGGTTTCTTTCCGTTCGATTTTTTGTGTGTGTGTTTTGGGCTACTACTACTACTCCGCTTTCGTCAAGGCGATGCATATGTTGTTGCTGTCACTCTTTCTTTTTCCTTTTGCCTTTATCTACATACTTGTACTCAATTTCCGTTCGTGTTTGCCTGTCGACCTCTCCTGTTGTGTCTTGTGGGATTTCAGGCCGAGGCTGTGGCGAGGGAGAAGGAGGCCGCCAAGAAGCTCAAAGACTGTCGCACCGCTCGCTGCCAGGCGTTACGCAAGGTGGGTGGTTGACTTCTCCCACAACACCTAGTCATTTGGGAAATATTTGGGTGGTGATGATGGAAGACCACTTGCCGGGATGGTTCTCGCACACACACCACACACCAGTAGGAGGACTAAGCTCTCTCCCTCTCTCTCTCTGGTGCGCACTCCTGTGGTGTAGCTGCTCTTGTTGTTGGCAGTGGTGTTGTTGCTGCCCCTGCTGATCTTGGCACCCTGCTGCTACTGTACTGGTACCCATGTTGGGACGACCCGTCTACGTCATTTTGTCAGACTAAAGCTGTGCCGTCGTCTGCATGGTCCGATTTACCCCAGGGCAGCCTTCCCTCTCGCCCCTGCACAACAAATCTTCCTCTCGACTACTGCTGTAGGTATTTTCTCGATCGGCCAGTCTCTCTTCTGATCGAATATTTACGAAATAAAAACAAGTGTCTTTCGACTGTGGTTACATCTCCGAACGGTTAGTCTTACTGTGTTTTGGTTGGAAGTATATTATATCTGAATAGCTGCCTTACAAAGCCAGATCCTTCCGCGACGCCCCCCCGCCGCTCGCGCAGGTGTTCGACCTCCGCGCGGATGGCTGCGCCGACGAGGCCTCGTGGCTGGAGGTGCTGTCGCCGGACCTCCGGATGACCATGCCGATCACGCCGTACCGGTCCTTCAACCCCGCCGATGTGGTCAACAACCGCCGCGTGTTGCTCGGCGTGGGCGGTGAGATAGAGAGAGAGAGAGAGAGAGAGAGAGAGAGAGAGAGAGAGAGAGAGAGAGAGAGAGAGAGAGAGAGAGAGAGAGAGATGGGTGTGTAAGGTTAATTGGAGAGAGGGGGCCACGGTGAGAGGTGGGAGGAGGGGGTTTGTGAGGGGTTGGCGAATTGGAGAGAAAAGCAGTGAGAGAAAGGTGGTTGTGAGGGGTTGGCGGAGACAAAGAGTGCGAGAAATCGAGAAATTGTTGGAGAGAGATATTGGTAGAGGAGAGGGACTGTGATGGATTCGGAGTTGGGGAGTATGTGGTTGAGATGTAGATGTAGCTGGCGAGAGAGACAAAGAGGCAGGGGTAAGGTAATTGCAGTGCTTTGGCGTATTCGTGTTGCCCTGGTAGCACTGGTCGCGCTTGCCTGCTCAGGAATTTTTGTTGTAGGAAGAGGCGGTGGAACCAAACGTTCACCTCTTCACTTTCCCCGATATTCATGGTCGGCGTCCTTCCTGGACTCCAACAGGCATGATCTCCGACACCCAGAGCCTCTCCGTCCTGCTGGACAACATCGGCGTCAAGACTCGCCGCAACGAGAGCCCCGTGTCGATCAAGTTTACCCTGGCCTCGGACGCCGAGGAGGGGGGCGCGTTCTTCAGCCGGGACGGCCTGATGTGCTCCTTCACCATGCGCACGCTCGACGCCGTGTAAGAGAATGAGACCAAATGTAGCAAGCGTCGTTTATGTTTTGGTTGAGAGATGGGTGGTGCGCTTAGGGTGGGGGTGGGGGAGGAAGAGGCGGAAACGCACAGGGGTGTTTTACAAAGGTCAACGCACGTTTTAGTGAACATTTCACAGCATGCTCCTACACGAAGTATAACATTGGTAGTGCCTTTTCATTGGTGATTGCGAGTCAGGCGGCTATTCTCTGGTTTGCAGGGTGTCTATGCATACGTTCATCAGGTCCACGACTGGGTGTTGTTGTCTTGGTGCCAGTGAGCGTATATATGATTGTGCACACCGACACACATAACAATGAGGCTTGAGGCTTGCACTTCGTTCTCTGTGGAGGTATGTGTACTAAATAGACGTTCGTGAGGACACGCACCAGGTTGGCGCTCTTGTGCACCCTGAAACCACCGGCGACCGGTCCTACGCGCTATCCCCACCCGTAGCAACTAGGGGTCGGAGCTTGAAGGTAACTTAACTGTTACCTGAACCGCCGATGGTGGTCCGTTTTGCTCCTTTGCTGATGTATATTGCCCGTCACGTGGTCTTTTTTTTTATTGCTCTCTCCCTGACCCATACATGACAGCAAGCATGCGGCCAAGCGAGAGTGGGAGGTGAACGGCATGGTGCGTGTGCGCTTCAGCAGCGACACCAACAAGGTTAGTGGAGGACGCCCTTCCTTGTGTAATCGCGTTTCGCCGTCGATTTCAATGTTCGCCTGCCGCGGCTGCCTCTACGACTGTATCTACTTCTCCTGTCTCTTTGCTGTTGTGTTGTGATGTTCTCTTCTTTGTTTTTCTGTTTTTCGTCCAGTCAGCCTGCATGAGCAAAGTACCGGGCTTCACGATGCCGTGTTTCGACAAAGTCGGCGTGTTTTCTGTCCTGTAACAATTTCCTCCCACCCCCGACCGTCGGTGCGTTGTCTGACCTGTCACATTCAAATTCGCTTTTGGGGGGCGAAGAATGTGCGTCTTGAAGACTGTGCTGCGTTTGATTTTAGTTACGCGCGATGTTTTTCTTGCTTATTTTGTTCGTGGGCGACAAGTAATTGTGTTTGTCCGACTGTGTGCCCTTATGGCGGCGCCGGCTCATTCGTGTTGCTGTTTGTTGCTTGAGAACAGATCGAGGAGCTGGACATGACGTTTGATGCGATCTCGTGCTACCAGCAACTGATGCTGGCGAGCGGAAAGGAGGACTTCCCCCCGGTGCCGAACACCCTCGACAACGCCCTCAAGGACGAGACGACGCGCATCGTTGTCACCACGGCTGCGGTGAGTCGTCCGCCCGGGCCGTGATTTTTCGCCGCCCCTCTGCTCCTCCGTGCACAGATAGTGGTGGCGGCCTGATGGTGTGGAAAATATATCTCCCTATCCCGCCCATTGAGGTGGCTGGTTGTCCATGATCACATGGTGTGATGGATTGCACGAAAGAGGGGTGTTCCCCCCACCCCACCCCCTCTCACACCAGAGCAGTTCTTCCCGTCTTTGTACAATACATGGAGGGGTTTTCTCTATCAACGCCGTTTAATGCGTGGAGCATGATACTGCAGTGCAACCACCCTCTACTGGGGTAACACTGGGTGTATTGGCGTGGGTAGGACAGCAGGTGTTCGATTTTCAAGGTCCTCATGTTTGTTGCTGTGCTTCTTCTGTCTTGTAGTTTATCGGTGAGGACCCCCATGCCCCCCCCCCCCCCCCCCCCTGCCCAAGGGCTGTACCCACACGCGTCCACGCGACGGCTATTGGGTCTTGGTGGTTGCACCCCCGCCCGGTGATGAAAATGATCCGATTCAATCTTCTTTGTGTTTTTCGGCCGCACCCTGGATGTTCGTCTCAAGAAAGACTCCTCCCATCCACAATGACCCGCAAGTCCCCTGCTCCCCCTCCCGTCCTTTACCCTGTCCCGTTTTTTTCCCTCCTCTCCCTAGCGGCCGTTCCGCATCACTCACGTCAACAAGGCGTGGACCGAGCTGTGCGGCTTCGAGCTCGAGGAGTGCGAGGGAAAGAGCCTCTCCATCCTGCAGGTGCCTGCACCTTTCTTCTTTTTTTATATTTTGCTGGTGTGTCGTATGATAGTGCTCGGAGAAATACCACCGTGGTGTGGTGTTCGTGGGGCGTGGGAGTAGAAGCAGCGGCAGTCGTAGTCGTAAGATGTTTCGTGGAAGTGGTGGTGGTGGTGGTGGTGGTGGTATGGAGAACCGGACACCGGTATTTAGGCACGATCGTTGAGGCATGGTCCGTGTTGGTGTTCATGGAGCTTGGAAGTACAAGCAGCAGTAGCCCTGGTCGTGGAATGTTGCGTGGACGTAGCAGCGGTAGTGGTGGTAGTGGTATGGGGAACTGGGTACCGGGATCAAGTCATGATTGTTGAGCCACGGCCAGTGCGAACGTGGGAAGTATCGGCGATGGTGATGAGGGGGAGAAAGAGGGTGTGTGTGTGTGTTGAGGACGGAAAACAAGGATGACGGCGATGACCAACATCCCGCGTTCCCGTCCAGAGCTTGATGTGTAATCGTCCGGAACGACCAGCAGCTGCCAGCCTGTTGAAGCTCTTGCTAGTTCGGAGTGTTGAAAGCTTGCGCACTACATGACAGGCGTGTTGACCCTAACCTCACGATCTAGAACGAACGAGCGCAAGCATGTATCCAGTTTTATTGCATTGCTCGCTGGCATCAACGCCATCCATCCTGCGAAACGCAACCGATCCTGCAGGGTCCTGAGACGGACATGACGCGCGTGGACAAGCTGTGCAAGCTTTCGCAGAAGGGCTACGCGACGTCGATGGTGGTGACCAACCACAACAAAAAGGTACTTCGCGACCGCCGTTGTTGTTGCTGATGTTTCTGCTGCCGCTGGCACGTTCGATACCTTCTGTTCCATCTATCTACGTGCGTGTGTTACATGGAGGGAACGTCGGCGCTCTCTGCCTCAGCCAGAGCAAAACTGCTCACCCGCTTTTACACCGATGTCAGCGCCGGATTTTTGTGTCTTCTGTCTCTGTCGTTGGTGCTGTCGTGTCACACCACATCGAAACTTACCGTACCGCACCGTAGTGTATCATACCATTCTATTCCGCGGCTTGTACGGTGTCTGTGTGGCCTTTTGTCACAGTCTTTTGCTTGCGTCTGTCGTTTGTGCTGTCGTGTCACCTCGTGGAACGTTTCCGTGCCGCGCCGTACGGTACTTATCCGTACCATACGGCAGCTTGCACGCCACTCAATATCAGCGCCTGATTTTCCCTTCTTCCTCTGCCGTTTATGCTGTCGTGTCACCCCATGGAACGTTTCCGTGCCGCGCCGTACGGTACTTATCCGTAACATACGGCGGCTTGTACGCCACTCAATATCAGCGCCTGATTTTCCCTTTTTCCTCTGCCGTTTGTGCTGTCGTGTCACACCACACCCACCCACCCACCCACCCACCCAACGGTACGGTTACTGTACGCCCACAGGGGGAGCTGTTCCGCAACCACCTCCAGTGCTACCCGGTGTCGAGCGACGAGCCCGGCGAGATCTCGCACATCGTCGGCATGCTCACGGCCATCCCCTCTGAAAACAAGAACCCTTGCGCTTCCTCGACCCTGCCGGCGGTGGAAGCGTTCTAGGCAGGCGGCGAAATTCCGTCCCGTAAGTCTTGGAGCCGGAAGAACAACAACAAGAAGTGGAAGGAGGCGTTTCTCGAAGTGCTGCCCGCGCAAGGCGAGAAGAGCAGCGGCGGCGGCGGCGGCGGGTAGGGAGTACACGCCGTCCGCGGTGTCGGTGCGCCCTACGCAACTAACTCCTTCTATCACGGCGGGCTATGCCGCTGGTCGCTCGTTTACAAAAAAAGGGGGGTTCCTTGCCTGGTTTGGTATGGGTTTTGGGGTCGGGGTGCGTGTGTTGGGTGCTCTCTGCCAATGAGTGCTGCGAGTGGGGACAGGAGATAGATAGAAGCGTCTCGTGCAGCGGTACCGATGGGTTCCTCTCCTCTCGCCGGTAGCTAGAGAGAGAGAGAGAGAGAGAGAGAGAGAGAGAGAGAGCAGCACCGACAAACGGGCGGGAGAACAATTGTGCTATATGGTTTTTCATGTTCCTTAGGTTTACCTCGTGTTGATGTTCATAGAACCAGGGGGGGGGGAGTATCTCGGCATCTAGTCGCGGCGACGACAAGCGGCAATCGAGGTGGGCGTGTACAGTTGTGCCTTCGGTGGATTTGGTCGTTTGCACCGCCCGAAAATACGAGTACTACACGTAGTTTCACCGCGACTTCGTCGCACCATGTCGCGCTAGCGTCGGCCTGCCGATGTTTTTACGGCGGGCGGGTAAATCGACGCAATGAGGGTGGGTAGGGCGTCAATATTAGATCACAGAGCGTAGGGTGCCGATGGGTGCGTGTTTGGTAAGTTGCCTTTTTCAAGCGCGGGCGCAGGCGTTGTGTGCGCATTGGCGCGTGCGTTGGCCAAGACGACGACATTCTTTCAAGCAACGCGTTGGTGCCGTGCGCTTATAAAGAGACTGACAGGTACAGCGAGCGGCAGCCTTGGTTGGCAGGCCTTTTGCCGCTCAAGGGGCGGGCGTGGGGCGAACGTTGTACATAAACCATGTTCCGGTTCCTTGACCTTTGCTGCCGTGTGGTTCTATCTAGGTGATGCCGTGTGGTTCTATCTAGGTGATGCCGTGTCGTTCGTGGAAAGCAGGCGCTGAGGCAGATGAAGACGGGAATCGCGGTAGATGGGTAATCATAACGGTCTTTCGGCCTTTGCCGTGGGTGGACGGAGAGTATCAGGACCGTAGGTTTATTAGGTGGCGTTGTGGAGCACGCCCGTTCGCCTTCGTGCGGCCCCTCGTCGTCGGGTCCCACGAACTCAGTATGTAGTTCGCCTAGGTCTTTCGGCTCTGATGGAGAGGCCTGTACACGTCGAGAGATGGCCTTCTTTTTGTGCCGTTCTCGTCGTCGTTGCTTTGCTCTTGCGCTTCGGTCGTTATGTTGTCGAGAGACAGGCGTGAAGGAAAGCAAAGTGACGGACTCACGGATGTAGAGCCTTCCCGTCAGACGGAAAGATGCGAAACACCATAAATAGCAGCCACATGTGGACGGCTGTTACATGAATTCACGGAAATACTGCTTCTTTTCTTTTTTGTTTCGGTTTTTACGGATTTAATCGTTGGGCATCTCGATACCAAGCTGCGTTCGTGTGAGATTTGTTACGTTTCGTACTCGACAACACGAGATTGCAGCAGGGCCGTGTTTCAATACGTTCCGTTGGATGAGTAATGTTAGGCCGAGCGTGGCTTGTGTGTATGGGTAGACTGCTGTAGTAGACGGGGGGGGAAGGTTCGGGAACCTTGGTGTACGGTTGCTTGCTGTGAATGCTCATGTTTTGCATGCCTTACCTGTTAGATCATGTGACCGCGCGTCCTCGAGAGGATTGAGCATGGGGTGAGGGGCGTGGGTCGTGGGGAAAACTGGAGAGTGAAGGCGAGAGAGAAGCGCAAGCGGCGGACGTCTCACCCACCTGCCAACTTGATCGTAGCAAAAAGGTCGACTATTGTAAGACACAAACGGCGGGCACACGGTATTTTCCATTCATCGGTGTAGGTGCTCGTGCCTGCCGGTTCTACTTCAAGAAGCCGGTGCTGTAACGGCATCAGGCAACGCCGTAGCACGCAAACGGATAGTTTCTGTACCACGTGAGAGCCCGCTGTGTGAAACTCATGTTCCCTTACGTGTTGCACGATGCAGCAGATGCTTCTTTGATTCACGTACGTACATGGATAACTCCGTCCAACTCTGTGGTAACGCCACGAATAAAAACTCACGCAAGAGTGAAACGAACAACGTGAAACATGTACGTTCGGACGCACAAAGAGCGCCCGAACGTTAGCGGATGGAGACCCACCCAGTCCTAAACTAACTGTCTTTTCCCGCGCCAAAATCAAAGGTGAATCATTTGACCGGAAAGGTGTAGTGTACCAACACCCATAAAACTAAAGTGAAGTCTTCCACCTGCACCTCCGTGGGTATCGTTATAGTTATGCCCCAGGTTCAATTCACAAGGTGAACAATAGATCAACAGGTGAAAAAAACTTCACATGGCACGCATACACCAAACAAACTAATCGAGGCCATCCTGTAGATGGTAGTCGAGCGACTCGGACAGAACAAGAGAAATCACGCCGTCCCCACCTCCCGGTCGGTGGCTGTCCGGTGAAGCAAAAGAGAGAGAGAAAAAGTGCCCCAGTTTTCTGATTGGCCAATTTTTCAAAGGAAGGTTCCGCGGAACGGCGAAAATTCCGTGGTCGATCGCTGCTGTCAGCCACAGTCGGGAGGTCACTTCCCTTTCGGGGAGATTCTAAAAATTCAATTTGCCGTGGATGACTGATGGATGGATTGATTGATGATATATTAGCACCATCATCCAATCGGGGAAGCGCCGACCCCACGCGTGTGTGACCTGGACGAACGCATTTGTTTGCTGGCTGCATCGATCCGCTCGCTTGTTGTTGGTTTATTATTGTCAACCGTGCATCCCCGACCCTTTTCTTGTGATATTTTTGTGGCACACCCACACAATACAAGAAGACGACAGACTGTCTATGAAAAAAGAGAGAGAGAGGCACACACACACACACGGCGGGCAGTAGGGACAAATCTTTCTTGACGGGAAACAATCGTCACCATAAAACAGCCACACGCTCCACAACAACATCCTCACAGACAGGAGAAGTATTGTCTACATTGTTTTTTTTTTTCGCGTCTTCACCATACAGACACACAGCAATTGTCAGTCATCACCGAACAGATAAAAAAAGTATATTGTCATCAGACAACGGTGCCACTACCGTCGTGGTTGACACTTCTGACAGAAAAAGAAAAAAATTATGTTGGCTCACTTCAAAAAGCAGATGGCACGGTCGACCACCGGTGTGCTGCATCATCATCATATGCCACCAGCTACCGCTGGTGTTATGTTGAGCCCCTGATAACTTCGCTTTGAGAACCTTGTCGTCGGTGCCTGATCGAACACCGGAGCGAATGGTAGATTCGGTATTATAGATCCAAACCCAATCGCCGATGGTGTAAGTCGGAAGCTTGTGCAAAGCATCCGAGAGAGCGGAATTTCGACGCTCGATCCGAGAAACGGATAACTTGTGCTGCTCACGTACTAGCTCGTATGTATGCACGGCGTTGGCGATCAGCAGCGAGGTCGCAATATTGACGATGGTTGCGATCCAAACTTTGATGACCACGAGCATAAGAATGCTCGATGGCAGTCATCGGAAGGCGAGGCAAACGGTTGATGTGCACCTCATTAGGTGCTAAAAAACCGGTGGCCGCGCTAATAGAGTTATCATACGCAAACACTACATGAGGGAGATGAACATCCCAATCATCTTGCCTTTCGTTAACGACCATGGCGAGCATTTGTGCCATAGTATGGTTAACTCGCTTAACACCACCATTTCCATTAGGATGGTACGAACTGGTGGCCACTTTGCGAACTGCGAGACGTTTGTAAACGGCTTGTGACAGTTCCGAGCAAAATTGTGGGCCATTGTCTGATAAAAGACTCAAGGGGCAACCCCACCAAGGGATATATATACCGATTCACTAAAATATCTGCAGTACCTTCAGCGGTAAACTCAGCAGCCGTAACGGCGTACATGTCAGCACGCCGACTAAATCGGTCGGTGAAGAGCAGAATGTAAGTGTTACCCCTCTAGGGGTAGTCGGCAGTGGGCCGAAATAATCGACACTCACGGCGGTGGCAAACTTAAAATGGGCCACCGGGCCGTTTGTCGGGAAGTTTTACGAGCTTGGCACTTACTTGAGGCAATGGCGAATCCACCATTTGGTACAGACGCTCATGCCTACCCACCAGTAGAAACGCTCTAACATAGACAGCGTACGAGCTGCACCAAGATGGCAAGGCGCATTAGCGTGACAGACCTGCATGATCCATGGGCGCATCAACATGGGGACGTAAAAAACCCTAATAGGTTCGTCGTTGAGGAGACGTGCCGCACGCCCGCCATGGCGCGTGGAAGCGGTAGAAGTGGTTGTGGTGGGCTTCTTAACGAGAAGCACTACGTCATCGTCGTCAACGTGCAACCGGCCTTTATGTGCCAGTTCACGGATGTCCGAAAACGAAGGTAGACGGTGTGACGGAAGGTGGTCAAGAAAACCAGGCGGTGATTCGGGAGGTTGACCTAGAAGGATGTAGCGCATGGCGGCATCGCACACGGGTTCACCGCGTTGTTCTCGCGCCCAATCAGAATGGGAAAAACGCTCAACCGATTCGCGGAAATCGAGCTCCACGCCCGAAAGCACTGGGGTATCAATAGCCGGCGGAACACGCACCGAACCAAGCAATGGTCCAGACGCGGGCGTCGGCGGTGTCGGGTCTGAGCGAACGGCCATCTCCGGAATTGGACTCAGTGGCGCCGAAGCGGCGGAATCTACCGGCCAGGAAGCCGAAGATTGATGAGCGCGAGGCGCACGAGCTACAGACTGAGGGACAGTCGGCTCGAGAAGCGAGTCCTCCGGCTGGCAAAAGCCATAGTCCGCAGCCGGGCGCGGAGTACCGGCGGCAGCAGCAGCTCGCCGACGGGTCCGTGTCGAAATTAGATCGGTAGGATCCAGGGAACGCCTGGATGAAGCACCAGGGCCTATAGCGGGTGTCTCTGTCGCATCCTGTACGGAAAAAACACCAGCAGCAGTCGAAACTGCAGAACGATCCGAGGCGACCAAGGGAGGGCGGTTGCGAGCGGTTGTAGAGCCCGAAGCACCGATAACAGTCGGGGTTAAACCTCTAACAGACCAGACGCCCGGGGGAACTCCGGAATGAGCGACACTAGCGCGCGGTCCGTGCTCGCGAAAATCATCAGCAAAATCAGCTGAAGAAGGCGGTAGCCCACCCAAGACTGAACTCGGGGCGGACACGACTAGCCCACCCAAGCCAACACCGGCTTGGCGGCCAGAACGGTCACGCTCGGTAGCTTCTATCGGTAGTCGAAAAGGAAGTCAGCATTGCCGTTAGACGAACCCTTGCGATACTCAAGAGTGTAGGAGTATGCCGTGACGGACTCCAACCAACGTTGAACGCGAGCGTTGTTTTCCCCCACCTTTGCAAGGTGTTCCAGGGACTTGTGATCCGTGAAAATCTTGAAATGGGTGCCCCATAGGTAACCGCGAAGGCGCTTGATGCACCAAATGATACTGCCAGCTTCAAGATCCAGAGGAGTCCAATGACGCTCAGACTCCAAAGTAGCTCGGCTAACGAAAACGATAGGCCGAATAGAGCCATCAGGTTGCTCTTGTTCCAAAGTTCCACCAAACCCATCTTTACTCGCGTCACAGTAGAGGCGAAAAGGGCGCGAACCGTCGGATACAGCATCCCAATCTGGATACACCAGAACTGGAGGGTTCGCCAGTTCCTCGAGAAGTTGGCGAACGACGGATTCCATTCAACCCGTGAACTCAAACTTCACATTCTTCTTAAGCAGAGTCGTAAGAGGGCGAATACGCTTAGCCATCTGTGGAAGAAACTTCCGGTAATAGCTCAAACCACCCAGCAAAGCTCGAAGCTGCTTGGATGTCTTTGGGCATCGGCTTCTTGGTGGAGCAACAACTTTTTCACCATTTGGCCTAACTCCGTCCGGAGATATAGTGTGCCCAAGAAACTCGGCTTCCTTGGCGCCAATAGTGGCTTTCGGAGGAGTCAGTTTCAAATTAATTGTGCTTGCGCAATCTTTCGAAAAGAGAGCGAGTGGTCGCTACATGAGCGGCCGGGGTCTCATCAAAGACAATGAGGTCGTCCAGATACGACGCAACACCTCGAAGATTTTTGATGACTTCGTTGACGACCTTACAGAACCATCCGGGAGCAGCGGCATTGCCCTGTGAGGCATTTTCAACCACTTAAACAGCCCAGAAGACGTAACAAACGCCGTGAGAGGGATGGTATCACGATGAACCGTGATTTGATGGAACGAAGACTTCATGTCAAAGAGAGAATAAATATTTCCCTTCAACAATTTGTCCACAGAGTATCATCAACTCTAGGAATCGGAAGCTAACTAAGAGCACATAGTTTATTCAACTTACGATAGTTTACGGTGATGCGAACACCACCGGATTTCTTGTGTATAACAACCAAAGGACTCGAGCACGGAGACGTAGAGTGTTGTATAAGACCCGCAGCAAGATACTGGTCGAGAATCGCGTCCACTTGCTTCGCGACCGGAGGACTAACTCGGTACGGACGAGATGTAACTAGCTCACTGCCGGGGGGAACGGTCAACTTGAACGGGAACAATGAACAAGAACCGAATCCGTAGGCGAGATGGAAAACACATCGATCGTGGTATTCACATAGCACATAAATTACCCAACTCGGTAATAACGTCCGGTGTCCAACCAGGACCATGTAAATTAAACGTGATTTCACAGTCACTGATTGACGATGAGAAAGATATATAGATAGTACGGTAAATCATAGATACCACATCAATCGATGAGAAAAACAAACTGGGACCGGCCCGCTAAACTCCTCTGCTATATACATCGACCCTAGAAAAAAGTGAGGAGAGGCGTGTTCCCGAAAAAAATAATAGAGAGAAAGCTCCCTGTTTGGCTGTCTACCAGCCTCCATACTACGAAACCCGAGATAAGACGCGAGGAAGATATCATTTTGAGATCTTCAACCCACCCAAGCGGTGTGATAGCTTGATTTGGCAACTCTCCCTTCGAGTGATGAGGGAGCCAATTTGAATTAAAAGCGACAGAGAGCAGGTTCCAAAAAAGGGTTCCGCTTTTGGTTCGGGTGAACCCTCTTGAAACGCCTCCTCCATCAGTGATGAGCTGCGCGCGGGTTTTTATCACTCGTGGTATGTACGGGCAGCTTGGTCTGCTCCACGTAGCACCATCCATGACTGCTGCTGCTGGTGGAGGGTTGTGATGGCACAGTAGCAGTCGAAAACGACCGTGCCATCTCCTTGTTGACACGTTTCAACACATCTTTTTCTCTCGCTTTTGGCTTTGAATTTACTCGAGCATCAACCTCAGTGAGTGGTGGTGTTGGTGACATCGATCTGTCGTGTCGTGTGGGTACAACATAAAATCTCCCCATCGAGGGGTGGGAATGCACGGTTGACCATCACCAGACAAGCACGGATCGGTGCGGCCATGATGAATAAATGCGTTCCTCCAGGGCACAAGAAAGTGAGGTTGGCGGTTCTCGCGAGTGACTCATTGAGGAAGCTGCCATCAACCAACTCAATTTGTCACTCACGGGAAAAATCCAGATTTTGAATTTCGCCGAAAGGCGGCCCCATGAGCGTGAGTGTCGTCACCCGTCGACCATGATTTTCTTTCGAAGAAAATTTCCGGCCGAAAGAATTGGCCAACCAGAAAACTGCGGGCACTTTTTCTCTCTCTCTTAATGAGGAAGGTGTGTGTTCCATAGGCCGAAGAGCTTTTGTCTTCAGCCGCAGCCATGCTGCGTTTTTAGGCCTGGCCGCACGGCACGGCCGCTTGGGCCTCGCCTACCTCTCGCATCTTGGTCAGAGCGTTGTTTCGCGCGTGCCAAATCTTTGTAGCGGCCGTCACGGCGTCCTGAGAGTGACACATGCACACGCACACACAAACACACACGTGAGCCGCGAGCACGCAGCTTGAATGAGTGAGGCACAACAAAATCGGTCAGCATGACAGCATTGCATTGTACGTGCCAAGGTACTTATCAGAGTTCACTACAACAGGGTAGAGAAACTATCATGTTGTTGGTGTTGACGAGCTAGTGAACCAGACAAAACAGACAAGGGGGTTCGCGGGATTTCACAGAAAAAACACATAATAAAACAATAATTGCAAAAAGAGTGAAAATGATGAAATCACGTCATGTGTGAAGCTGTCAGAACCTTGCATAGTGAAGGTGAAACACATTTATTCCCGCCGACGACAACCAAAATTCCTTATTCCAATTCCTCCCGTTTCACCGCGACTTTCCTGACTAAAAGTATGAATACTGGTCGCTACGGCTTTCGGATAGAAACGTTTCCTTCCCCGACATTTGCTGCGCACGGTCTAACTGTTTCAGGACCACCCACTTCTCGTGACTACAGGATAGATAGGCCGTGTTCGTTCCCTCCCCTCTGTGGGGAAGGGGTGGGTCATGGATCGCGGCCTCTTCGATGCCAACGAAATACATACACGCAAGAACCTTTCGAGGATTTGATTTTACGCTTTTGATGTCCCAACATGGACTTGAGAGTGTTATTATCTTCTTGTCGTGCGGTGGGAAGAAATGAAAGTGATCATCGCCACGCAAAGCCTAGGCTCCCAGGTCGACTCTATTTTCTTCCAGAAGACGCATGTCCCGGAGGAAAGCAGCGTCCCCGAGAGTGACGATCAATAGGTGTCATATGGTTGCTTCCCATCCCCAGAAGAATAACACTTACACTAGAACACGCTATTTTGTTCATGAGTTTTGTTGACCTCCGCAAGGTGGGGTGATAAATGCTGCAATCCCCCATGTGCAAGTACCACCCATACGACGTGTGTTTTCCGTGTTTTCGCGGCCGCAAGCATCGTATGTATAGATGTATCAAATTGCTGCTGCTGTTCTCGTGTTGAGACCCACCTTGGCCGGCATGTCGTACCGTAGCGTCGCCGACCGGCACGCGCACGCGCAGCACGACGGCACGCACGGCAGCCCCAGGAGCCCCCTCGCCCGGACACAGGCGCCGCAGCAGACCCGGCTCTGCACCCGCACGGCCTGCCCCCGCCCGCCGCACAGCAGCTGCCGAGCTTCGGCCATCAGCCTCGCCCCCGTGGACGGCCGTCGCCCGCAGCAAAAGCGACTACAACCGCCACCCCCCGGGAACACCGGCGTCATGTCCTCCAGGGTCGGGTCGTCGAAGTACAGCACGCGGGCGTCGTCGCGGACGTGGAAGGTGCATCCGCAGGCCCCGCTGTACTGCCCGTTCCCGTGCGCGCTGTCGGCCGACGCGACCCTGGCCACCGACGGCCTGGAACCCATGACCACCTTTGTATTGCGTACAGTTCGTCGTGGGTTGGGGGGGGTTCTTGTTCGTGAATATTGGTTGAGGTGATTGGGTGCGGTAGCACTGTAGAAGAGTCGATGGAATTGCGGTCAGCTACGGGATTTTGGTGTGGGTGTGCGTGAGTGAATGAGTTAGTGCGTGAGTGAGAGATTGGCGTGTTCGGAACGGGAAGGGGGTCGGGATAAGAGGTAGACGCCAAAGGTGACTACGTGTAAATCTATGTTAGCGGGGATTTCCTCCGTCAAAAAAGGCAACGGGTAACCTTCCTGGTCCTATTGGAGCCGCCCCCTGCGACGGGTACAGGACATCGCTTGAATATGGTGTTTCACGGTTCTAGTTTCGTTCTCTCTGTTTCGCTCTTCGGCGCGTGGGGGGGTGGAGGAGGTGGCCCGCTTCGCGAAAGTTGTTCCGAAATGCAGCTCTTGTTGGGTCCTCGGTGCATTCCCACGGCGTGTCGTTGATTCCATTTAAATCTCGTTTCCCCATTTGGCACTCTGTCGGGCCACGACGGGATAAGTGGTTTGCGAATGATCTTCTATCTGGACTACCTATCAATATAGCCATCATCAACAACATGCAACCCCGCCACACTGAACGCACCCACCTTCGGGTTGTTGAATTCCACCGAGGTGTCGCGAATGACAAAGTAGCTAGACTCACGACGGGCCTGTTCCAGCTCCTCGGGGTAAGCGCAGCACGGGAACACCCAGGCGAGGCACGGCAGCTGCGGCGGGGCCCTGCACGACGAGAATCAAGGTGATTTTCAGAAGCACGGTCAACTGTACTCTCAAGCCGACAATAAAGAAAAGCGTAGCAGGGTCATTAGGTGAGGTTGTGGCGACACCAATAAAGGTCTGGTTATTGCAGGTGTCGGAGTACCCGCCTGGTCAGCAGCGCAACTATCGAATGAGCCGGAGAGTCGTTCTTCGCGCGGCTGGCATGGTTTTAGCTGGGTTTTGGCCTTGACCGCCGTCGGGATAGAGAGATAGATGCAGGCGGAGCGAAACACGCCCTTGAGAAAGTGCGTATTCGCCAATTCTTAGGCATTTCGACAGCCAAGTGAGCCTGCAGCTCCCCAGCGTAACAGGGCAGGGCACTCAGACACGTGTTGACATCCGAATCGCAGCAGGGCCTTGTCCAATCAAAGTTATCCTTCACAGGCCGACCGACAGCTTTTGTTTCGAAATATGATCCTCCGCGAGTCCGACAATAAAAAAACAGCCGCCGGCCCCTCACCTGCATAGGCCGCAGCACGCGCCGACCCCGTCCACGTCGGCGTCGACGGTGTCGAGCGCGTCCCGCAAGTAGAAGGTGTACCGGCAGTACCGCGACATCACGGGCCGGTGGGGTTTGATGACACGCTGAGCGGCGGCCCCGTCCGTTCCTTGCCCTGCCGCTTGCTGCCTCACGAACGGGTAGGTGCTGCCACTGCGTGCGGCGGTTTAGGGGGCGATGGGTGGAATGTGTATGTATGCTGAGCGTGTTGCTTGCAGAAAAGAGGATTTTGGAACACTTACGAGCGAAGACGAGAGAGGGTCGTTGCCAGTGGTCTTCGTGGTGCACTTGGGAAAGGTTTGCGGTTCTATTTTTCGTGCGCATTTTGTTGTCATATGTCCCGCCTGAACACTCAGCAAATGGTCAACTCTGTCATCGCTCATTGTTGCCCGTGTGTCGACGACCAACAGCCGCCACTGCTACGCACGACCCTGACGCTACCACCTGAACCCCCCAGGCAAAAAAAATCGCCCACGGTAGAGGGAAAGCCTAACCAATATCTGACCTGACGTCGTTTGGGATCCCCCTCGGTCTGCCGTGCTTGGACGGTGGCAGCGGCTTCGCGGCCTTCCCTTGAGGCTGTTGTTGCTGCTGCTGCTGATTGCTTCCGGGTGCTCGAGGGCCCGTAACGTCGAGAGAGGACGTGGAGTCGCTCCGCTTTCGCCTGTGCCGCGCCGTCCACGACGCGGTAGAGGTCCCCCTCGAGAGCGGCGGGGCGGTCGGGTTCTGCAGGTTGAAGGCGTCCATCCCACACTGGGCGAGGGCCGCCTCGGTTGCGGCTGATCGTGGGGAAGAAGAGGCATCGTCGTGTTGTAGCTTGTTTTTTAGGTCCTTCTTTATACAAAGGTGTGTTGCGGGTCAGCGAAGTGTATTACTAGTGAAAATGTACATTGCTCCGCATCAAACACAAAATGCCTCTCTTCCATCCTGTTAGTCCCGCGTAAAACGCCCTAGCAATGACCACGTTGTTCCTGGGGCGGATGTGTATGTTGTTTCGTGCTCAACCTGCACGAACGAATGCTTCACCACAAACTTGGCATACGAGTATCGTTGAACTCGCACCTGATGTGGCCAATCAAAACGTGCTACAGTACAAGCAAGAGCTAGAACCAGGCGATCCGGTAAGGATGGTGGTGAATTACTTACACGCCGAGAAGCCCACCGAGGTGGCGTCGTCGCCTTCGGAGCTGAGACTGCCAGCGGGCGGGGAAAGTGCCGCGAAGTTAATCTCGGTTGGCTGCCGTCGCTTACTTGTAGAACGCACGGTCGCGTTGGAAGGGGATGGTGAACTCGACGCCATGGCCCGGGGCATGCCTGATACACGCGCACAGAGTGACGAGAACGAAAACAAAGAGCCATCATCACCTGTCCTGCCCAGAAATGATCACTCTGCCCTGCTCAGCGCTTTCCCGTTCCCCTCACAGAGACCCCATCCCCAACGTTATGGTGTCATTCACCATCGGACCATTCTCACAGTGAGAAGGGGCGCAGCGGGGGAGGGGAGCGAGTACACGGCACCTGGGCGCTCGTCGAGTACATTGGTCTACGGGGTATCCTGTTTAGTAGCGTTGGCGGAAGGTTCCTGATCGACGTGTCTCAGGATATCTTTCCATTGGCACTCCGACCTTGGCAATTGGGCGAGGAAAACGGACCTCGCAATGCTGTACAGCGGTAGCACTACCCCTTAAGCGACAGAGCACAAGCTCCATAGCATCGGTGCCGTTCGATGGGAGCAATTTGTTGTGTTCCGTAGACAGGACTCGAGCAGAAGACTGATGCAGTACAGTAGTCTAGGTTGGATCTTTGGGTGACACCAAGGTGGTATTGACCGGTACGTGTGTGCGGACATTGTTGAACAAACGACCGGGGCACGTGCACACTACTGTTTCCCTCACGCTTAAACGATCAGCAACCCTAGAAGCCGTGCCTTGCGCATTATTACCTGAGCCGCCGCGATCCGCTGCAAGGGACTGCTGCGAGTAGTGGAGGAATGGGTGAAGTTGCTGCGAGATGGGAGTATAGAGTTCGCTGCTGGCGTTGGTTTTGCCACTGGTCTCTCTTGGATCCTTCGTATACAGCTCAAAGTGAAGGAGAGACTTCCACCGCCACCCTGTGATGCTGTAGATTGCTGATGTGTGTTGGTATATCCATGAACCCAGTACAGCGATGAGGACGAGGAGAGAGGTTGTGTCTGAAACCATCTCGGGAAGTGACGGTTTCAACATGATTGCGCCGCATTTTTTCTTCAGTCATGATCTTGTTTCGCGTGCGCCCGGGGACACATACATGCACATGCGCGGTTGACATGACATTCCTGGCTCGTGCTTATGATCTGCTGAATGTGAAGCAACGCCGGCAAGTTGCTGATCATGGACCGGCGACGCGATGTTGAAATGATTATGTTTGGAGATGGATGCGTAGAACGCCTTATATGCTGTAGACTACATATTATGCACATGATGCCTCACAGCCAGCACACGCGGATTGATTGGCGAGTACAGCATACTGCGGTACAGTCAAGATAGAATGGCTCACGGGCAAGGAAGACCTACGTAAGCAAGTGACGAAGCACACATTATGAGCTCATGATATTGATTGGAGCACGGATGATACGATCGAAACACCATACGATAGGTGGTGCTGTGTGTCATTTTGCCGCGCATTTGACAGTTTGACCAAAGGTCTTAATCTCTTCCTCTCCCCAAAAGGCGGCCCATCTTTTTGTTCGGCGCATTCGACTTTCTGAGACAAGTATGACACGTTTGTGACGTTCTGGGACAAGCTGTTGCCAACATGCCAGGACGTGGGCCACGACGTGCGTCTAGAGCAGCACAAGCGAGGGAGCCTCAGGGAAACCTGAGCGTGTTCATGTCGCGGAGACTTCCTAAGTATTGCAGACAAGAGACCCCACCCACCCCCCAGTTCCTTCCCTTCCCGAAGGAATCAATTTTCAATTTCTCCACGACCCCCTTGTGTCTGGAAGAAAAGCTCCGCGCGTCCATTGCCATCATCAGCTGCTTTTGAGAGCGGGGACGCCACACATCTACCAAAAACAGCCGGCGGCCACCGTACAAAACTTCTGTCTGAGGAGGCGGGTCGGCTGCGAGGGGAAAGCGCGGCGAGAGGATGCCGGCGGAGGCGTTGAGAGCGGATATAGAGTGCGATCTGCGCTCTGGGTTTGCTTCCGGAGCCATCCAATCCTTCCATCAAACTTTAGGGTGAGAGATAATGCGTTCGGAGAGAGAGCTGAAAGCAGCCGTAGACATGGCGCGTGGGAGAAAAGACTCGACCCACACTTGTACTGATGAAACGACGGTCCGTAGATAGCAGAGGCGTGCACGCGGCTGTGCTGCTGCTATTGCTACACCTGCTCGGCTCTCTTGGTCTTCCATCGACGAACTAATTCGCCACAAAAGTGTGACCTCGCTTTGTGTGTATGATGAGGCCGCGTTGGGCGCCTGCCAAGAGAGGCAGGCGAGCGCCGATTTGATCCCCCGGAAACAATCGCGCCACACACAGCGAGCTCGGATGTGTATCTACGTGTACATCAGATGCGTTTTCTTCATCTCTTTTTCCCGTCACGACCATCACCCAAAGACGTAGATTGGTGTAGTCACCAGCTGTCGGATCCTCTCTCGACGGCGGTGGGTAGATTCACCCTCCGTGCATGATGACCCCAGTATACAGCTGTACGAACTGTAATTGCCACTTTTCCCGTCCAATCTCTCCTCGTCTAACTACCTACCGTCTCAGGTTGTCGTGTAGAGGGTATCGAACGCCCCTCAAACGCTCGGGGGAAATCTTTGCGGTGGTGTTGTTATTATTGTTTACCCGTCAACAAGCGTGATGGCCGATGACCGGGAAATGCTATTGTAACTCGTGTGCGTGTCACGCGGCCGCGCAGCAATAGCTATGATGTACCTACAGTTATCTTGTTTACAAAGAGTGGCGAAAGGGAGCTACGGCGCTTGCCGGTTGTGCAGGAACATCTGTTGTTGTTGCTTTGCAAGAGACAGCATCCGAGAGGGCGGGTTGTTATCCGTTGTTTTATCGGAGAGTTGGGCGAAGTTGCGAGTGTTGGCGAGAGATGACCATACTTCGCTGTCTTCTTTAAGTCGCGATATGCGTGCGTGTGATGAGCCGGAGGTGCGAAAGCGACCTCTTGCGTTGGAGGTTCGGATAGATGTGCCGCCTGGATCTTCCCGGTCAAAGCAACGATTTTCTTGAATCACACCCAGCATTCAAGACACACGCGAACGGGATCCTCCGCCTCTTTCTCTCTCTCTCTCTCTCTCTCTCTCTCTCTCTCTCTCTCTCTCTCTCTCTCTCTCTCTCTCTCTCTCTCTCTCTCTCTCTGTGTGTGTGTTTTTTTTTTATTATAAGCATCGACCGCGCTAACCGGCTGACCAATGAGAAAACACAAAACACTTGTAAATGCCATTAACTGGGACCCCGTGAGGGGGTGGCGTGGGGGAGACTACAGTAATCTATTCTCCGGATCAATGACAGAAACGGTATATAGCAACAGAAGAACACTGCACGCGTCTACGAAGGCTACTAGCTTGCACTCGAGTTCGTTTTGGAGTGCTTTCACCGTCGTCCTCCATGGTTTCACCTCCATCGTTCTCATTGTCGTTTTGACAGCAACGTTTCGACATTTCTTCTCTGGCCCTGCGTCGTTTGTGGTGGGGAAGGTCATCTGGCTCGAAGCTCTTGCTCTCTACTACGCCATGATTCCCTCCTCGACTGCTGTTTTGGTCTCTGTCTTGTCCACCTCCCGTTCCCTCTCCTCCTCCTTCATCTCTGCCAAACGAATTCCCCTCATTTCCATCCTGGTCGTGCCTATCCGCACTACTACCGAGATCCCAACCTATTGGTCGTGGTGGAAACTGATCAATAAGCAGTCCATGACTTTTGAAAACATCACGAGTTCGTACGGACAGAAAACGAGCCAGCTCGAAGGTAAACCGCCTCCGAATCCTATTGGTATAAAAAGCCTTTAGGCGAAGCTCTGTGTGTGTGTGTGTGTGCGTGTGTGTGTGTGTGTGTATGTCCTTGTCGCCGAGAACCCCGCATGTTATCTTACCGCTGATTTTATCCGAAATATGTACTTTTGGAAATGCTGGTCTAGGGTACGCATACTTGTAGTACGCATATCAAAATGCGAGGATTGTAGGTTTCCAAAGCCTGAATACGAGCAGGGTGATCGCACACGACAATGGACAATAGCTTACTCGTAGCTTCCATCTCTCCCCCCACTTCCCCTCGGCCTCCTTGCGTACAGTCTAGAGACAGGGTCGCGCAGACGATGGCGGTGTACATAAGGCTGCCCCGTATGTAGTCTAGACCTACGGCTAATTTGCCCCCATTTTCAGGCAGGTGCTTGCCATCTCCGTGTTGTAGGCAGGTTCCACAACTCGAGGCCGCAACGCCCGGACGAGATACATTTTGACGGAAGGAATTTCATTGGGGGGGGGAGGGGGCATGTCTCGGAGTCTGCGGGTGTTCCGTACAGATTATGGCGTTCTTTTCAATGTCTCGCACCAGAAGGAACCAAGCAAAGCAATAAATTGATCATGTGTGTCCAACGAGGCACCGAGTCCACCAACATCTGAGACACGAGCAGGGATTGTGCAGGAGCTTTTTTTTTTCTTGATACACCACAATAAATGCATAACTCCGTATAGAACATAAGGCTCCAGGATAAATTGGTAGTGAATCACGGCACAAGCCCGGCCGTAGTCCAAACAACTAACATGAAGAAGACGATACTCGTTTCGATCGCCATCGTGCGGTATTTAGGAAGTTTGCCCTGCTGCAGATCAACGAAAATTACAACTTCCCGCCAGGGAGACCAACCTGCTTGCCGCACACACAACACACACGCACGCAAACTTCATTCTTCTTGTTGCGTTTTGCACGGCTGGCCGTCGGCATAAACCGAGCAGGTGTTCGAAGCCCTTCGTTTCCGGAGGCGTCGTCCATGTCGTCCTCAACGAGCAGATGGCATCGGGCGTCGTGCGCAACCACTTCGTCAGGGCGACCCTAGGAGCCCATGCTAACAGTGCCGGCGGCGACGGGGCTGGTAGCGGCGCCGCCGGCTGGCGCGTGCGGTCATGGTGGTGAGCAGGGACTGGGGTCGGTTGTTGTGGCACCCGTTGGTGAGGTTTGGATGGAAACGTCGACCGCGCGCCGTCTGTCTCTGTTTGAGGCTCACAGCTCGCCGCAGCCTGCTCTGTTTAAGGAGAAAAGGGCATCGTCGCGGCGCGGTGAGACTCCGGAATTATTGTGTCTACCGCTCAAATATCGATTTTCTCGATCTGTCACGCCCCGTACACTACAACTTGTCCTCGCCTTTTTCTCCTCATCGAACCCCCCCCGTCCCCCGTCCCCCGTCCCCCGTCCCCCGCCGCCGCTTTTGTTGGAAACCCAAAACGAAACAGCTCGACGGGGATGCAACCCGTCCGAGCTATCCAACCCCTGGATGACGAGTGCGCCACCCTTGTCTACGCCAAGGGTGGTCTGTTCTGCTTCGCGACGGCCCCGACAGACGCAAGCGACACATCCCCAACAACACCAGCAGCACCAGGGAACGGGTCGCCGAGGGTCAGAGCCCTAGCGGCGGCGGCGGCGGCTGTGGCAGCGGCCGGTGGGGGCGGGAGCAGCGGGGCCGGGCGGGAGGGAGGAGCGGGATCCAACGGAGGCGGCGGTGGCGGCGGTGGCGGTGGCGGTGGCGGGGGGGGCGCCGTGTTTGATTCGTTGCCCGTGCACTCGGGCAACGTCGTGGACTTTCGGGTGAACCCCGTTTCGAGGTGGGCGCGCGGACAATGGTTCGGTCGCAGCGGCATCATTCATTGCGCCGCGCTCGCTGTGCGTTGATTTGTTCGGTCGAAACCTCTGTTTTCATTCAGCCGCCCGTACATCACCCACAGGCACGTTCTCTCGGATTAGCCGGCCGTGTCTGCACAGGCTTCGGGTTTGCGTACGAGCCATGGGATGTCACCCACGTAGCCTAGTGGTAGGTCGTCCTCCGCGAACCCTTCCTAACGGTACTGGCGTTTGCCTTTCTTTTTTTTTATCACGTACCGCGCACAACGTGCGCGTGCAATCCATACTGCGGGGCCCCTTCCCAGGGACATCGTCTCGGGGTGCGACCACGGGCACGTGCACGTGCTCAACTTTCCCTGGGACATGGCGGGCGTTCCCACGATGAAGGTACGGTACGGTACGGTACAGTGCCCCTTGGAGGAGTTGTTTTCGGTGTTCCGGCGGGGGTTACACACTGCTTCCGCAGGCCGCGGAGAGAATGAAGGAGGAGGGGAAGAAAAAGTCTCTCGCCACCGTTTCGTAAGCCGGCGGTTTCGTTTTTTTTTTCTTTCTTGCAGCCCCCCCCTCCCCTTTCTTCCTTGTCGAGAATGACTGTACGATGTTTTCGTTGTGTGTGTCTTTATTTTTGTTAGCGTGCACCGCGCTGACCGGCTGACCAATGAAAAGTCGTCAGAGATGCCAGTGTGTGTGTGTGCGTGCGTGCGAACGGTTCTGGGGATGTCGGGGGTGTCGCGGAATGGAAAACATGTCCGGCGCGGGTGTATCCCTGCGATCGGCGCGCGCTTGACATGGAAGATACTCCCCGTGTGCACATGGCCAAGCGTTTTCTTCGCACAGAATTGATCGGTTGTAAAGTATTAAGTTACAAGGCTCATTATAACCGGTTTTGTCGGGTGGTCTACTCTTCCCTTCCCCCTTCCCCCTTCCCCCTAGGCTAGTCTATGAATGGGTCGGGGGTGTTCCGCAAGTTTGGCGTCGTTCGCGCGTTGGATCAAACAACCAGTATATTTTGAGGTAGTCTAATCGCATGAAAGTCGGTCGGTTCACATCGTTATCATCACCCACCGAATTCGGAAAGTGTCAACATTACCCGGCTCGTTGTTCGCCTCAATCCATCATTTGGTTGTCTCATGATCGTTGGACCAGGTCTCGATTTCTTTCACACAGCTCCTGCGTTGGTTTGTACCTATACAAACCTGAACAAGACGAACCACACGTACGTGTAACAGTAGCAGTGAACCTCCTTTTCTTCAATATGAGCAGAGTCAGTGAGAGAGAGAGAGAGAGAGAGAGAGAGAGAGAGAGAGAGAAGGGGGGGGAGGGAGAGAGGAGTGTGAGTAAACCTCTCGTGCGTACTGCGAGCAAACCAATAGTGAAGAACAACTGAAACCCATCACGCACAACGATCAACAGGTGAGCAAGTACGTGGCGCAGCCGTTGTCGAGCGTCCGGTGGGGCATGGGCGAGCCCTACGTCGCTTCGTGGACTTCCTCCAGAGGTCTTCTGCAGGTGCGCGCGTGTTTGTGCATTGTCGGCGTGTATTTGTGTGTTGGTTCTTCTTCAGCGACTCCCCTATATCGACCGCAGCTGACCACTGGAAATAGTCCAGTCTTACAGCGGGATAATATAATCAAAATACGTCAGTCTTTTTGTTGTGGGATAAAGCTACACTTTCTACGTAGTGTGTGTATACATGTTCACGTCCTACCGGTAGATTTTTATCCTATCCACCGCGATAACCAGGTGACCAGTGAAAAGACGTCAGCGTCCGCGGGCAACGACCGAGGTAAGAATCGAGGTCACCGCAGCTGGCCAGCGACCGAAAACAAGGAGGCGTGTGTGGTTGCTTTGCAAGCGAGCAGATTTTTTCGCTGCAGATATGGCATACCCGACAGGACCGGTTAGGGGCGCCGGAACCCCCCGACTAACCTACAAGTACCGGGAATAGAGATGAGCCAGATTGTCGGTGTAAACATGTAATGTGACCGAGAGGGGGAAAGAGCGGCGGACAATAGTTCCGCCTACCAAACGGTGGTTCTACGGCTCCAAAGCGACGAGTGGTCGATCGGGCCAACCGAAAAATCACTGCCTTTAGCGTCACATTCGTCATATTGATGAGAGCCCCCCCTGAAGTCTCCCGAGGACACGTGGACAATGGTCTGACCGGTAAGGCGTGGAAAACATGAGTACGCCCCCCCCCCCCCCCCCATTGCTCTCCTTTTGCCCCACCCCCCTTTTTTTCCTTTTCCCACTCCCCCCCCCGCCAATTCTTTTTTAGTTTTACTAAATGTTTCCCCCTCCCAACTTTTCTAAAAAGAAAAAACCTTTTTTTTTT